AATATGTGAAAACCAAGTAGAGTATAGCCTTTGGCCCAATGGCCTAAATGATAGAATGATGACCCATATGACTTTCTTCACAAAACGTGTCTTTGCCAGAACCACCAGTGCAGAGTTGCATCGTCAGTTTTAACAGCGCAAAGCAGTGTGGATGCCGCAGCTACGCATCGCGCATTGCTCCAACCAGACATCATCTCAAAGCATGGCTTGAGGCAGCCATTTCCGGAACTCCCCCCTTCTTGCTGCCGACTCCTCCTCCAGTTGCCTCAGCGCTCGAACAGCGTCATCATCCTCGAACTTCTGCGCGGTGTGCCTGCGCACAACGCGGAGCAGTACACATACAGAACTATAGCCGGCCGCAATGGCTTGCCGATGGACCGACGGATGTCTGCCCCCCCAAGCCAACTCAACATGTCCAACCTCCCCCCCAAAAAAGGCCAATATAGCCGGCATGGTTGCCAAAGTTTTACAGAAATCGTACGACGATTCAGACCACCAGTTACAAGTTGTAACACGAGGCCGCTTATTATTGCAATGTGTGTCTTGGATTTAGGAATTCGGGTTGGTAAATGAAAAGCGCATGCCCATGGTGTAGGAGTGCCTCTACTGTACGCCGAAACGCCTTGCTTGGCGTCGCACAGTCAACGCCTGCATTCCTGATCGTTTTGCGAACGTACCTTGGGGCGACACCAAAATCAAAGAACTTGAGCGAACGGCAAACAAAATGGAATTAATCACACTTGTCCACGCTAGTCCCCACTTGCTGGACTCGCTCAAGTGTTAGCGGCAATCCGGCGAACGGGTAAAATACAACAACAGTAAAAGGGCGCCCGTCTTGCGGCCAAGACACTCAGCCAAGCGGATCTTGCTGTCCAGACCCGTCGCATATGCGTGGTCGGGATTACACTGCGTGCATGAGTCTGACGGGCTGACACTGGTATGGTGGGATTGACTGCGAGGTTCACTGCCAGACTGGGCATTTGGTCAGTTGGTCGGTTCATTGGTTGCTTGATCGGTTGGTTGCCAAGTTGCTTGGTGGGTGAGTGGTTGATTGGTTGACAGGTTGTGTTATGGTTGAAAGATTGCCAGGCTAGTCGATTGGCTAAGAGTCTAGTCAGGAGGTAAGAGTTGTTAAGAATTTGGTCATGCGTGACGCAAGTCTTGTTGCTTCTGAACGAAAGACAAAACCAAACTAGAAACACAATGCTCGCGGCTCGATCTCATGGTTGTCAAGCCTGACAGCGTTCAAAAATCCAGATTCTAGACTCAATACTTGCTGAGCACGGTGGCTGAGCGCGTGAACAGTTTGCAACACCCCCAGCATATGAGCGTGAAGTCCTCAGATTTCGATCAAGCCGCAGCCAGTAAGCCAAGGGCCCTTAAGCGTGTTGCGCCCGCGTTGTAGGGAAGCTGAACAACATGGTGTGAGGCACGCCCTCCGAGATAAATGCGAGATGCCCATGTTGCACCATGTCGGTTTCAACACACTTCGTGTCACCGCAAACTCCGAGGATGCTAGCGCAACACTAGCGCAGCGTAGTCAACAACGTTCCAATGTCTTCCACTTCCACATGTTGCGTGACATGACCAATGTCAGTCCACGCAAATGGCCCATTGTTATTTGCAAGCATGCCTAAGAGGCAGTAGTTGTCACATAGGTACAAGCCGGAGTTGCGAGCTACGAGATATAAGATATGAGTTCACAGGGGCATAAGTTGTACGTGGTAAGATGTAAGCTATAGGTTCTAAGTCAGATGTGTCAAACGATGTCACCAACTATGAGCGTCTTCAGTCATGATTCCTGCTTCATGAGTCATGAGTCAATAGTCGGTTGTGCTTGTGAACCAGTGATCATGGGTGTTAGTATTAGTGCTGAGTATCAGATATGTCGGAGTCATAGACGATGAGTCCATGAGTCATGCATCATGGATAGTGTCACGAGTCATGAGTCGTGACTCCACACGGCAAGCGTCATGAGACAGGTTGGAGCTGGCCATAAGGGTCATGATGAGGCACGCGTTGAAGTATAAGCGCAATAAGGTTGTCATAAGTTGTGAGCCAGAGTTAGAAGTTATAAGTTGTAAGTAGTTAGCCGTTTTGGTCAAGTCTTACGTGCCGCAGAAATCACAAAGGTCATACGACTCATGCGCGTGCTGTCTTGCCAATGTATAGCGTTGTCACTGCTCACGAGTCATGAGTCATGAGTTATATGATGATGTCGTGATTCAATATCATAGATGTTTTATATCCTAACTCAGAACTATAGCCGGCACAGATGACTTCTCGATCCCTATGACTATAACTTATACGAACTATGATTGATTTTCATATGCGTACGAAGTTTGAATCACATATGGACCATTTGACCACGACTCATGTTGCTAATCATTCGGGGCAAAGCGGATGTGGTCGGTAGACTGTGTGCGCACTAGAATGGCTTAGGCGAAACCCAAAACGGCATTGCGAACGTTTGCGAACCTGACCAAGGTGTGCAAACGTTTGCGAAGGAACATCTACATGTACAATTTGCAACAAAAACCCAGCCGAAGCTTTCGAACGCAGCCGGCGTTATGCAAACCCACGGAGGTTAGGTGAACCTCTCGCGAACGCCAGGCAGGCTAGGCGAACCCGTACGAAAATGCATTTCTACTGTTCCCGTGAAGTAACCATATGGGTGAATCGTGAATCGTATAGCCTGAGTCTAAGCTCTACAACTTACATCAATGTTTTTAAAGTTTAATATGACGGTTCATTTCATAGTGATTCTGATGATGATTAAACAAACAGTACTGGCTATTACTTAGTGAAGTTTTGAGAGAGCAGTGATAGCAACGCACGCTGGTGACGGGTTGTTCCTGTACACGGCATAGCGAACTGGTTGCTCACGACACCGCTTAAACCGTCCTTCCCCTGTTGTCCTCCCACGGGTTGTTCCTGTCATCATCTCACAAATTCCTACACGGCATAGCGAACTGGTTGCTCACGACACCGCTTAAACCGTCCTTCCCCTGTTGTCCTCCCATCGTCGTCCTGGCGTCCTCCCGTCGTCCTCTTGTCGTCCTTCCGTCGTCTCTCCGTCGTCTCTCCGTCGTCCTTCCGTCGTCCTTCCGTCGTCCTTTCGTCGTCCTCCCGTCGTCCTCTTGTCGTCCTTTCGTCGTCCTCCCTTCGTTCACCCGTCCGTCACACCGTCCAAATGATCGTCACCGCCCCCGTACTGCTTTTTAAGCACCTACTAACACATGTCTACTGGGCCTAGCTAAATGATAACCATCATCGTGCATCCTCTGCATCACCAACAGTCATGATGATAATGATGACTACGCGTGCATCCTCTGCATCACCAACAGTCATGATGATAATGATGACTACGCACCCTCTGCATCTCCAATCGGGTCTATATGGGACTTTTTGAATCGTATATGAAAAAGATAAAGATAAGATCCTCATCATAGCCGTCGCTCATCATCGTCATTCCCGTTAGACCCGATTGGAGATGCCGAATCGTATATGAAAAAGATAAAGATAAGGATCCTCATCATAGCCGTCGCTCATCATCGTCATCATCACGGTCATCATCATCGATGATAACCATCATCGTGCATCCTCTGCATCACCAACAGTCATCATGATAATGATGACTACGCACCCTCTGCATCTCCAATCGGGTCTAACGGGACTTTTGAATCGTATATGAAAAAGATAAAGATAAGGATCCTCATCATAGCCGTCGCTCATCATCGTCATCATCACGGTCATCATCATCGATGATAACCATCATCGTGCATCCTCTGCATCACCAACAGTCATCATGATAATGATGACTACGCACCCTCTGCATCTCCAATCGGGTCTAACGGGACTTTTGAATCGTATATGAAAAAATAAAGATAAGGATCCTCATCATAGCCGTCGCTCATCATCGTCATCATCACGGTCATCATCATCGATGATAACCATCATCGTGCATCCTCTGCATCACCAACAGTCATGATGATAATGATGACTACGCGTGCATCCTCTGCATCACCAACAGTCATGATGATAATGATGACTACGCACCCTCTGCATCTCCAATCTCATCATCACCGTTATCATCACCGATGATAACCATCGTCGTGCATCCTCTGCATCACCAACAGTCATCATGATAATGATGACTACGCACCCTCTGCATCTCCAATCGGGTCTATCGGGACTTTTGAATCGCATATGAAAAAGATAAGGATCGTTCTCACAGCCGTCGCCCATCAGCGTCGTCATCACCGTTATCATCATCGATGATAACCATCATCGTGCATCCTCTGCATCGCCAACAGTCATGATGATAATGATGACTACGCATCCTCTGCATCTCCAATCAGGTCACAACGATTATAATGTGATGATGATGACCATGTCATCATCACCATGATGGTGGTCACTATCGTCATCATCATCATCATCGTCGTCATCATCGTCATCATCATCGTCGTCATCATCGTCATCATCATCGTCATCACTACGCATCCTCTGCATCTCCAACCGGGTCTAACAGCACGCTTGAAACGTATATGACACAGATCTGATCAGATAGGAGAAAGATAAGGATGACAACGATAATAGTAGCTCGGAAAATAACTGTCATCGTAGCATCCTCTGCATCACCAATGCTTTCTAACCCCACACTTGAAAGGCGTAGAAAGACACATCTTTGAGGTGCAAAGGATGCTACGATGACGGTATTGCTTACGCTGATAATGTTGAATCTTTGGATATGCTCATTTACCAACCCACCTTGGACTTGTGCTGTAACCACCCTTCCCGTGCGCCTCCCCCTTTGAGGAGAAGGGGTCGGCGGATTTAAAGGGCATCTATCACTACCGGACATATGTTCTCATTTTTTGCAGGGGGCCGAAAAAGCAAACGGACCTAGCCTTCCAGGGATTTGGTTCGCACCCCTGCCCAAAAAAGAGGCCACGCTAAAGCCGCCTTCCGCTCGCCTTCAGAAGGCGAATCCTGAGGTGATGATCGGGTTTCAGACGGACCCCCTGTATCGGAGCTGGCCTGGGTGGACCTACTTGGAGATCATGTTCGCCACCTTCTTGGTGATCGAAGTGTCCATACGCATGTACCTCATGGGCTGCCACGAGTTTTTCCGTGGCCAGGAGAGCGGGGAGAGGAAAGCGTTGGGGTCGACGGGCCCGAGGAAGCAAGTTATGTTGGAGAAACTTTCAGGCAGGGTTCAAAAGGAGGGTAGAGGGTGGGGCTGGGCTGATTTCTGTTTTGAGAAGCATGTATCAAAGGTTTCCGGGGCGCGGTTTCAAAGTTTCCTTGCGGAGGCTTCACAGTCAAATACGTGAAGCTGAAGAGTTTCGAGGCGGAGTCCTGCGGAATTGAAAAAGGGATGCGCTCAAAGCAGATCTGGTTTCTTGAGAGTTCTCTGAAATGGTGGGATCAGGTGGACCCCCCTCAACCCTTAAACCAAACGTGCACTTTTCAGTCTGTGTTCCTCCTGGCGAAGGCAAGACACGAGGGTGCGGCCATTCATGAGGCACTCTCAAGCCTTTTTGTTTGACATACAAAACGTTCTTTTTTTTGGGGGTAGACATATACGAATATAGTATGTAGAAATATATGGCTCCAAGGAACAATGCAAGCATATTTACATATACATCTTACACACGCACAAACAGATACACGCATACGCACATACCCCTATACACATGAGGACTGCCTTGTTATTCACAGAAGACTGCAGTAAAGGCTGGGCAGCAACGGTTTTGGGCAGCATTCTGAATTACCTAGATCCCCAGTTGCCCTTATTTTCCAGCTACTTTTGCCAAATTATGGGCTAGGACACAGTTTTTTTTCTACTCGTTCTTCGGCCCGCGCTGGGCCTGCCAGGCTTCCACCCCGTCCAGCCACTAGTGGGTAAAGTGGCTGGACAAAAAGTAGCTACTTGGGTTCCAAGTAGGCGCAAAACGAGGAAGGAACACCTCCGAAACGAGGCAGGGCCATGACGTAGAGGTAGACGAGATCACAAAAACACATGCGACGCGGCCAAACGGGTGTGTTGGAAGGCAGGTGGGAACACCCGACCACCTGTGCACCAAACAAGTGCCGTAGCTCTGCAGATATACATTCGTTTGCTGAAATGAATATGTTTTGCAGTCCCTCGTTGGTTTTTTAGGGAATCGATGTCACTACTGGACATATTGTTTAAGCCTATTTTTCCCCAGGGGTTTTGAACAAGGCTAATGGAAGATCAGTTTTTGGAGAGATGGCCAAGACGAGACCCGCCCCCACAAAACAACGCTTCTTTTCCATGGGAAACGGAAGTAGACGACATAGATATCGTGGCAGTGCCTCAATGTTCGCCACATGAGCCAGGAGAGCGCCTGGAATCTCTTCGACATGTCGCTGGGAAGGCACTCGTTGAGACACACGTTAGGTTCGGCCGGGTCCGCAAGACATGACTCGCTGAGGACATGCAGCAGTTGGTGGGTAACCGCTCAGAGAATCCCATGGGCACCAGTTGGACGGGTGTTTTGCGTGTCCGTTCTGCGAAGTGTCCGGTTCGGTCCAGAGGAGAAAGGTCGCGCCAGTCGCCAGGAATCAGGTACGCATTGGTGGTTTGGATCGGTTTGGAGTTGGAACCCTTGGTGTTTGCAGAGGGTAGACGGGAAACCACCCCTTGAAACCACCAAACCACCAGGCTCCAAACCACCAACTGAGAGCCAGGTGGATTTGGTCTCTGGAGGTTTGCTTGAATTGAAGGGTTAGCTAAGGTTTGTCCGCCCAGCTGCCAATGCGATATGGGTTGGCAGGCAAACCATGCTCTGACCCATGGACTCAAGCCCAGTGGTTGATTTCTCCTTTAGAGGGTAACTGGGTTGGAGGCGCGTAGTCAAAAAAAATACGGATTCCTGGTGCCCATTGGAGGGAATCTATTGACATCAAACACCAACCACAGCGATGCCCGGTTTTGGTCGGTCGGGGGGTCTTTGACCTGGTCTTTTGAAGGGGTGGCCAGCTTACAGCAGGTTCCTTTAAGCCAACCACTTAAAAGCAAACAACACTTTTACCGGGTACCAACAGCAAACAATAGCCATTTTATCGGGCACCGTAGTACCACCAAATTCTTTACCAGGCGCCATGTTACTTTTACCTTTGAATCACCCGGAGCCTCTGCGCGGCGTTCCTGTCTCCTACATGCTGGTGCTCAGCAGGGAATGAGAATTGGCATGAGGCTTGGTAAACCGTCCAAGCGGTGGTTTCCTTTGTTTTTGGGAATCCCCTTCCAACCAGTTCATTCCATCTTTCATTCCCTAGCCAGGGTTCCGCTTTTTCACTACGAAAAGATAGACTCAAACCCAGGGGTGGTTGATTTCCCCCAAAGGCCCACCCCTGGGTTTATAAGTCTATCTTGGGGTATCTGAAAAAGTGGCGCCCTCTCCGACTCTCCCTCGCGAAATTTTTCAGTGACTCGCCGAGGTTTCTGTCCTGCACGGGGGTGGTGGACGTCTGCGTGCAGCTGGTGCGGGGGGAGAGCAGCGACGTCTTCGGCACCTCTTTGCTGCGCTTCTGCCGGCTCATCCGCCTGGTGAGGCTGGCTGGGGCGGGCGAGCCGAGCGACGTCGGGTTTTTAGTTTTGGCGTCTTAGTTGGCGTTTTTTTGAGTTGGTTTGGTGGTTGGATTTTTAGTTTTGCGTCTTAGTTGGCGTTTTTTAGAGTTGGTTTGGTGGTTGGATTTTTTTCTCACCGTCACCAAGAGTTAGTAACTTTTAGGGGATCTGAGGACAGGCCGGTCAAATGGTTCAACTTCCATTTGGTTAGGAATGGATTTGTTTATTTCCCCTGTTGGTTTTAAAGGGAATCGATTTCACTACTGGAAATATTTTCTCTTTTTTCCAGGGGACTTAAGCAAATGGAGGGTTCGATAGAGAATCACGACTGAGCGAGACCGGAGAGTTTGGAAAACTGAACCGGTTGGAGGGGGATTCCCGAAGAAAGGAAATCAGAGGAACTTGGATGGTTTATTGGGGTCATTCCATGCCTCGTTCCCTAAGAACGTGTCCTTTTGATTGGTTAGTTTGCTTAGAAGTAGATGGGTCCCACTGGTATACAATGTATATGGGTTGTATGGCCCATTTACCAGGGAAGCCTGCGCAAGAATCGGGCAAACAACACAAACAATGCGCCTCAAGTGCCCGACTCATGCGGAAGCCCTGTGTTGTGGCGATTTCGATGTGAAACCACCGGTGCTGAGCATCTCCCAAAACAGATCGGATTTTCTGGGTTTAGATAGTCCCTGCCTTTTGATGGAGGTGGTAAAGCGCCTATACATATGGGTGTGGGTCAAAACCAATGGTACCATTTTGGGGTTTTCGGTGCACCACCCATTTTAGTCTTTTTTAGTGGGGACTGGGATGTTCACTGGGGGTACGGGATTTTGACCCATGGCCGTATTTGTATAACCTTGTTAGTAAAACCAAGAGTGCATGGATGTGGATCGTCGAACCCTGAGGATCGTGAAGGTCTTCCGGCTGAAGTTTATGAAGGACCGACTGGGACAAGGGCACCAGGGCGACCGAGTCATTTCGGTTAGCTTTTCCTGAAGGCGTTCAAGGGGGTTGTTTCTCTGTAGGCTGCCACTTAAAAGGTGACTTTGACGAGTTAACGGGCCAGAGAGGGCCCATGAAGCTGGCAAAGAAAAGGAATCGATCGGAAATTCGCCAAACACCCTATTTCTACGGCCAGTTTCTGAGGGTTGCCTGCGGCCCAAAGCAACGCCCCGACGCCCGAACCCAGACTTCTTAGTGACCGAATCCACCTGAAGCACTTTCCGTCTTCGCTACCACGCGCTCGAATTAGTCATAGCCAAGCGCTAGGGCAGAGACGGCGCCTGCTGAATGTGCCGTTCGGACAAAGCTAGCCAACACTTTTTGAGAGCTTCTAAGACATGCACTAGCAGCTTGCCTGCAGAGGGGCAATTAACCTAGAAAACTTGAACCCTGAACCTAAATCCCTGAACCTCAACCCCTCAACCTACGCCCTGAACCTAAACCCTGAAGCTAAACCCGAAACCTAAACCTAAACCGCACCCGTAACCTGAACCCCAAACCTGAACTAAACCTAAACCCCAAACTTAAGCCTCAAGCCTACACCCTAAACCTAAACCTACACCCTAAACCTAATCCCTAAGCCTACACCCTAAACTTGAACCCTCAACCTAAACCCCGAACTTAAACTCGGAACCCAAAATCTAAGCCCTAAATCTAAACCTAAACCCTAAACCGAAACCCTGGGCAGGACAAGGGTGATTCGGGGGTGACGGCAACCCTCGGGGGCCGTGGGTATTTCTAGCTCCGTCATTGGGCAGCAATTTGCGACGTCGTAAACAGGGGGTTGCGACATCACCCATGATGAAGGTTCGTTTTACAAGGTTCCCACATGTTCAGTGGTTTTTCTCTGAATTTGCCCAGTTCTTAGGAGGCGGGGGGAAGGTATTTTAGCTTCTTCGGCCCGTATGACCTTCTGGTCGAGTTCCCACTCTTTTCAATGGACAGTCTCCGGGACTAGGTTGCCCGAACCTCTGGGTTGCAACGGTACCTGTGTGTTTTGGGCGTGTCTCATTAGACGTCGGGGCATCCGATCCCCCAAACAGAAACGATGTGCTTCCTCTGCTTTTCCCTCCCAGCTAACGACGTGTTTTTTTTTTCTTCGTTCTCTTCCTCCCAGCTAGCCATGCGTGTCTCCTCTTCCTCCCAGCTAACGACGTGTTTTTTTGCTTTTTTGCTCGTTCTGCTCCCAGCTACGGTTCGATTTTGGCCTCCTGGCCTTCCAAAAACGTCGGGGGATCCCATCCCAAAGGCCCCAAGGGCTCCGGAGCCTCGCTCGCGGGCCCCGCGGCCCCGCGGCCCTGCAGCCCTGAGGACCTGCGGCTCATGGTGAAGGGCCTGGTGGCGGGCATCAAGAGCCAAGACTCAAAGGCTTTGGGGTCAGCCATCCGCAGGGTTCCCTCAGGGTTTTTCGTGGTTTTTGGTGGGTTCGGTGGGGGTTTCCGTGGTTTTCGTTGGTTCGGTGGTTGGATTTAAGCTCAACTTGGCGGTTCCCAGCCAGGTTTTGAGTGGTTGTTAGTTGCTTTGGTGGTTGGATTTTCGTTTTACCCACCAAAAGAGAGTCACTTTTAGAAGGGGATGAGTTTGGACAGCCCTCTCCAATGGTTGGTTTGGTTCCATGTGCAGCACGTTCGAGGTGAAGCGCTCGAGAGGAGGCTTCAAGGCAGCCCGCAAAAGGCAAAGCAAAGAACGCCTGGCTCCTTTTGGCTTGAAGAGTTTAAGCCAACCCTGATTCTAACCTCTCAAATCTGGAGGACTCAGTGTTACAACGCCTAGAGTTCCCAGCCTTCTCAAGGAAACCAGAACAAATTCAAGTTTGTTCAACCAAATTCTCCTGTTGATGGACAAAATCCACAAAGATGCAGCTATTCGGTGCTTTCTTTTGGTTTCAGAATGGTTTGCGAGGTAAACGTACTGCCCATCCTCCGGTTGAATTTGCAAGCATGGAGATGTTGATCATAACGGTTGCAAGGGATTTTTCCCTCGTTTGCCCCCACTAAAGAAAATAATAACACACACACACACACATGGTTGCTATGGTTGCACCCAACTTGCGCTTTTCTTGGGGCACCCTGCGCTCGACGTAAAGCGCTAAGGACGCTGATCCTGGCCTTTACTTTGCTCTTCACGGTGCTCTACGTGATCTCGGGTTTCGCCGCTTCGTCATTGGACATGTTGGGGTCCGGGTCCAGGATGTGTCAAGTGTCAAGTTGAGGGATCCACGACTCTCGGATCCAGTCCGGGGCAAGTGGACACAGCAGGGAGTTTGTATTGGACACCCCCTGACCCCTAATATGTTTATGGTTTCTAGGTCCCCCAGCAGTGCTCTTTTACCACCTTTTTCCGGGGAGGGTTCCCCTACTAAAATAGACTACAGAAAAAAGGGTACTCTTATTCTAAGTTTATTGTTTAAAGAGATGTATGACTCTTTCCCATTGCGACTGCTTCGAACCTTGCCATGCTTTTCGCACAGTGCGCTGGCTGAAGGTCTGGCGCAGTGAATGGGTGCTGCCTTTTGGGGCAAGCGAATCGCCTCAGACAACTTCCTTGTTCTTGGGGGTTGGAACCATGGAGGCTCAAGCGCCCTTTGACAGTTTGATTCTATGCAGGTCCCAACCTGAGTGAATTGCCCCCCCACTTTGATGCATTGCCAGCCGAGAGAGAGAGGGTGCAAGGGGCACTCAACCTAGCGATATCCTCTTGGGGAACACAGAGTATTGTTTGTGGCTCATCTCGACTCATGTCGATATATTCGCCGTGTGTGCTTCCACTGTTTGTTTGCCATTTTCTGCAATTGGCAAGAGTCAGAGCGGCAGACGTCCATAGGATGTTCCGTGCGCAGACTCGGCCAAGCTTGTCTGACCATGAGGCCACTATGACCATCGGCACCAGCAAGCAGACGGAGGACCGCAGTTGCGCTGAGCATAAACATCGACCAAGCGCGTTTGAGTCGAACAGTCTGAGCAAATTCTGCCGAGCACACAACGGATTTGTTTCGGTCTGCGACCTTTTTCATGATGAAGGTGCTGTTATAGGGAACCCTTTTTTTTTTTTCTCGAAGTAAAGACAAGGTCCCAGAGCAAAGGTTTCCTTTTTGAAGCATTCACCAGCGGAACACACGTGGGGTGGGGGGGTGATTGTTTTTCACCAAATTCATGGGCCCCTTGGCCTCGGGGACTCGACCCGCTGCTCTATGGACTCGATCCAGGAAAGGAACATGAGTCACAGAGTCACAATGAAAATCCGGTACACAAATGGTTGACCCAGAACCATGTAGAGAACAAAGAAGGCGGACGCAGCTATTTATGACTGGGATCGTCCCTTGCTAGCCTTCACCTACCCGACTACCCGGGTCTTTTGATTGTGGCTCACTTGGGAACAAAAACCATGCACAACATGTTGGTTTCAAGCAACTCATGGGTTGGAATTTTGGTTCGAACTTGCTATCGGAAGCTGCGAGTGCAGCGGAAATGAAATGATTGCCACCGCTTTCGAACTCTACCGTCCAAAGGAACGTGAACCCAACGGATTCGGCCAGGACCTGAACCTCTCGGTCTTCTTCGCCACGATCCCTGCCTCCATGTTCACCTGCTTCCGCTGCTTCACCGGAGCACCTCGGCGCGAAAAGTGAAAAAACACGGTCGTTGGGCGCGCGGTTCTGAGCGTTTCTTCTGGTTTGCCTTGGGATGTCCAAGCCAAAGAATCGGATTACTTCGGCCTCAGTTGGTGGGTGTGGATTGGTGTTCTGGGGGTTTGAACCCCTGGGTTCGTTCTTGTTGAGGGTAAATGGGAAGTGCGCCCCCCAACCACCGAGCCCATCGATCCAAACCAATTCGAGGGGGTAGCCCGACGCTCGGGGCTTGTGGCCACTTTTTGGCCGCGTTCGCTTGCGCTTCGCGCGAGGAGTGCGTGAACGACTCGGGGCAGCCCATCCACTCGATCCTCGCTTCGGAGTTTGGGCTGCCCTTCATCATGGGCTATGTGGCCAGCTTCATGCTGGTGGCTTGCTGGGAAAAAAGCACACCCGACTAATTGAAATGTTTTTTTTTTTGGCTGAGCTTGTGGACGCGCTCAGGGCGCTTCGGAAGCGAATTCATTCCTCTTGAGAAAGGGGTGGGGTGAACTGAGCCACAACCAAAACCCGGGTAGATGAAGGTCAGCAAGGGACAACCCCAACCATGATTAGCTGCGGCCGCCTTCTGAATTCTTGGCGTGGTTCTGGGTAGACCATTTTAATACCGGGTTTTGATTATGACTCAACTGAAGTCTTCGGTCTTTCTGTGCTCCTTGTGCACACAATCAGGGCGCTTCGGAAACTCCCCTTGGGGGGCGGACTCGGGGCAGTTGTTTTGCGCGGTCGTATGTTTTGTTTTGGCGATTTTGCGCCAAAGTTTCTAGTTGTACTTTTGGAACGGAATCTGACAAAAACATCAACCATTCGGTGTGCCCTACCGTAGATTTGGGCTGCGGTGCACATGGCGGGAGGTCTGGTTTTCATACAAAAAGCTCCAAAAGGAGCTTCCTCCAATGGGCAGGGGGTGGGGCTTTGTTGGGGGTTCTATGTGAATTTGCAGGAGAGAGTAGCACAAAAGATCGGCGCACAACATGATTGGCTTTGGGTTGGCCTTTGTTCCATCCGCAAGCTCATGGACTTCACATAGAAAGACTTTCTGGGACCGTTTGAGCTGGAAACAAACAAATTGGGGGGGGGGGGGGCAACATGTAGTCAGTATCACTTTGCCCCTATGATCAAGACTTTGGTTTTCACAGCGGCCCACCCCATCATAAGCTGGACACCAACCCATGAGATGCCGCGAAACGTTCCCGAAAAGGGCCACAGCCCAAAGCAGGAGGGTTCCTGTTGGTTCCCACAGCCGGCTAAACTGAACCTTGCCCCAAAGCCTCGGAGCATGTCCAGAGTCGCATCGGGTTTTTGCAAGGTGACCATGGGCATCTTCAACGTGATCCTGGCGGTCTATGCGCGGGGCCAAGGGGGGAAGGGGGCGGTAAGGGTGGGACCCAGAAGTGGGTGCCTGTTGCCCGGGGGTGCCGCCTAAAAAAAGCACAGCCCCACTGGGGTTTGGCGAGGGGGTTAAATTTTGGTACGGTCACCTGCGTGTCATCTCAATATACGGAAAACTGGCTTTCTCTTGAACAGTCCTTCTTGGTGGTTTTGGCAATAGAATAGATGGCCCATTTCCCCCAAAACAACACCTATGCTCTTGAAGGCAACGAGGCAGACACAAGCAGAGCGATTGCTGTAGCTTCGCAATCGTATGTCGACCGCCTGGCGAGAGACGGGTTTTACATTGGGAGAAGCACCGCGAGAGCTTGTCTCCACTCGCTGCCTGAAAGCCGCTGGTTTCCCATATTCAACAGGAAAAGGACATTGAAAATAAGGAAGAAAGAAAAAAGAAAGACACAGAAAGACAGAAAGAAAGAAATAAATCACGGAAAGACGGAAGGAGGGAAGGAAAGGGAAGACATGGGAGGGAAAGGGAAGGAAAGGGAGAAACAGAAATGGGAAAGGAAGGGAAACACAAGGAAACAAACTAAAAAACAAGGCAAGACAGAAAAGCAGAGAGAGAGAGAGAGAGAGAGAATTTGGCCAGGCTTCAGGGAGCCAAACAAGCCGCACAGCTCTGCGTATTTGAATTGACATGGCTGTGGGTCAAAACCAATGGTACCATGTTGGGGTAGGTAGAGGACCCATTTTAGTCTATTTTAGTGGGGATTGGGATGTTCACTGGGGGTACGATTTGGCTTTTGACCCATGACCACATGTCCGACCGATTGTTTTCTTTGAGGTCTGGGGGCCTTCTTGGTTAACGGCAGCCGAATGGAATCCACTTCTAATTGGGACCGCCCTCGACCGCTTACATGGGTCGAACCCCTCCCTACTTTCCGGCTTGGGCTTCTTATGCGTCAGCTTTTCAGGTGAGTTTCAACTTGGGGTGATGTTATAGAACATCTAGGAAGCCCCAAAAAGCTTCCTCAAAAGAACAACCACAGGTGGACATCACGATGAAGGCCGCGAAGGAGACAATTGCACGCTCCAAGAGTCGCTGGCGGAAAACAAAAAAACACGCGACCCAAGCACATCTCCACTTGAAGTAGAAGCTTTTTTGGTTTTCCCGTGGGGTGTGCTTAGGGGTCCGCGGGCCCGAGGGGCCACGTGAACCCAAGGATTCCCCACGTGGGCCTTTGTGATCACCATACTACCGGTACTTCCTCAGATGGAGTTGTTTGGTGGGCAGATTTGAAGATTTGAAGATTTGGTCGCCAGTACGGCGTGGGATACTGCCAATCTGGTTTGCTAGGGTGGGCTGCCAATCAAGTCTTGTTTAAATCAGAAGCCACCAGGAGGTGGTTCAGACAAGCTTCCTTGCATCATGGCCCCCACAGACCCCCCAACCAAAACACGTTGGTTTCGGCAAATTCTGGGTGAGAGAGACATCCCACACCACCTCACCCCCACCTCCCCACTTAGCAAACTCCGTCCCCGACCCCCCCTCCTAGGCCCCAAAAACCCGGGTCACCCGGGTCAGGTCCGCTCCGAGCCGCGTCCGCCGAAACCGCCAGGAGAACGACCTGGTGACCTTCGAGCAGCACAACCGGGAGGCCATCCGCGTGGCGCGCATCGCGCGGGAGCTGCTGAAGAAGTTCGCCGCGGCCTTCCGGGTCTTCCAGGCGCGCGGGGGGCGACGGTCAGTGGGTGGGGGCAGGGGCGTTTTTTTTTTTTGGTTTTCTCGGGCGACGGAGGGGAAGGGGGGTGGGTTGGGGCGCGAGTTTTTTTTTAGTTTTTGCCCGTAACAGCTGAACACCTTTGGGGGTGGCTCGGGGGAGCGCAGGTTCGAGCAAAGTTCCGGAGATTACGAAGATAATTTACAGACCAGATGTAAGGTTCAAGGAAGGTTCCGGATGGTTTGGTGAAGGCCAGGCGCAAGGCTCAAGGAACGTTCCGCAGCTTCCGGGTGGTCTGGTGCAGGGCGTAAGGTTCATGGCGGTCTTGTCCAGGTCTAAGGTTATTCAAGCAATGGTGCGCAGGCCATGTGTAAGGTTCAAGGGGGGTGGTCTGGTGCAGGAGGTAAGGTTTGAGCAAAAAAGAGAGTTGGAGAGAGCCCTCAACACTGCAGCCAAGTGCGTTGTGGAATTGTGGATGGGTGGGGCAACCCCTGGTTGCAACCTCACTGCAATGACAATGGCCAAGGTTGCCCAACCAAGGAAATTTCACCTAAACTTATTCTTCCGGGCGACCGGGTGGGTGGGGGGTGTGGGGGGTGATGTGATGGGTCGTTCTGTGGAAATCCTCCCACAGAATGAGGTTGTCCTGTTGACTATGAGTATGTGGTTTTCTAGAGAACATATTTTTGAAGGGACACCAACAATGGAACCAAGCAAAAAAGGAAATATAACCTCGCCCAACCTATGCTTGAATGCTATTGTTGGGTTGGACTCTTGACATACACTTATTATTTAAAGATAATTATTTCCCCACAAACCTGCAACATGCTTTTCCCTTCAAGCACCCCAGGATGACTTTTTTTCAATGACATCAGATGGGGGTTGATGAAGGTTGTGTCGTATGGCTGCCATTCTGCTTGGTGTCTCTCTGGCGCTGACCAACAAGCGCTTCCCCTTAGTTCCCACCCGCTTGCTCAAACGCTTGATGTGGGCTGTCTTGTGTTTCTGAGAGGGTTTCCGGTACCACTCCCGCGTTACTGCCGGGAAATACGGTATATGCGGTATATTCCCTCTAGTGGTAGCGGGCTGCGCATCCCAGGCGAAGCCGAGACAAACAAAACTCAGAAAACAGTATCGTGCAATTCAGACGTCAGCAACGCGACATTTAGAAGACAGGAGGCAACATTCGGAAAGCGGAGGGTTTGAAAAGGGGAGAGTTGGGATGGTCGGGACGGTCGGGACGGTCGAGATGGTCGGGACGGTCGGGACGATCTGTGGTTTAGGGAGGGCGGGTTAAGTTGGTGGCTTCAGGGTTGGTTTAGGATGTGCTCCGAGCTGGGCTTGGGGTGGGTTTGAAACCGGTTGGTTTCGGGTAAGAGGGTAAATTAGGCTTGGTTTAGGGTTGGGTAGCTCTGGGTTCAGGGTTGGTTTATGGTTAGTTTAGGGTTGGAGTCGGTTGGAGCTGTATAGGGTCGGTTTAGGCTTGGGCTGGTCTTGATCTGGGCTTCAGGGTTTCGGGTCTGTCTAGAGTTGGTTTAGGGCTGGTTTCGAGTCCGCCGCCCCGCTATGTTTTGGCTTGCCGCTTATCTTGGTTTTTTCCCGGCCATGTGTTTGGCCGAGTGTTGAGTGTGGATTTCTTTCCACAACCCACTGAAAGTGAAGCTTCTAGCAGGGGATCTTCCTGTTGGTTTCCCTTCAAATACGCCGAAGAGGTACTCTGCGCAAATTCCCCTGCCAAATCCTCAGGACTTGGACGACACGGAGGACAAGCAGCTGAACATCAAGAACACGGAGGCGTGTTTCATGGATGCCCGGTGGTGATCACCTGTTTTTCTTTCTTTTTCTCGGAGCGAGCGGTTTCAAAAAAGGGTGGGGACACGGCCGTTTGGGGCGTTGGGATGTTTTGGTATGTGTTGTGAAAGTAGAGAGCTTCCATTTGCTGAAACGACGATTCATGTTTTCACTTTTGGTCTTAAGGGGAATCCCTGGCTACTGGATACATTTTTCTCATGTTTACCAGCCTTAAATGGAAGAGAGAGGGCGCAACGCTTCTGGACAAATCTGATGGGTCAAAATTCAGCCAGCAGGAGACCACAGGTTTTAGTCCATGTTGCCATGTACCAGTGCAAGTCATTTTGGGGTTCGCCTATGTTTGACCCAGATTTACTCTTCCCAGCCCTTGACCCATTTTCGGGCCAGCCATTCTTGGGCTCCATGTACCCGGGCTCCACGGCGACGATTTTTTGGGCCCGCCATCCGAGGATGGGGACATGATGGAGGGTGTGGCGATCACCAAGGAGCTCTTTCTGATGGTGATCCAAGACCGAAGGGTGCAGGCCGGCGGATACCCAGCTCGTAAAACCGCTATATATAAAGCCGCCTATAAAACCACCATATCACCACGACTCAAAACCAAAAAACACACACAGACGGACGGACACAGACAATGTATATAACTGTATATACCATCCCCAAAGGGTAGTAAATCCAGGGTCCATGCGGATTGGGATGTTCACCATATATATATATATATACCTGGAGCCCGAAACATCCGTTTTTATACAGTCGTAAGAACATCCATCATCAGTTCCGGTCGTTTGCTGCAGTTCCGGCCGTTTGGCCTGATCACCATTCTGTTTTTCGTGTTGGGCATATCCTTTGCAGCCTCGATTGACTTGCGTCTCTGCAAGACTGGCACCAACCCTGCCCGGCCAACCCGCAGGGTCTCAAGCGTGCCGCAGCAGTCTGAAATGCACTGATCCCTTTGTTTTCTCTTCTAGGCTTTCATGCAAAAGGGAAAGGCATGGAGAACGGGGCTGCGCGAACTGCACACTTTCAAGACCCTTCGGTTCCGCGGGCAGAGCCACATAGGTGTACCGCCAGCATCAGCAGCATGTGGGGTCGACGAACATCGTTTATCACCCCAAAGCCCTGGCGAGAACACTATAGTTGAGCGGCTTTGGCAGTGGGTCAAATCACTCTTCCCTCACGCACCCAATGGGTGTCTTTCAGGTGGTTTCCCAAACAACCCTTTCCAATCTTTACAAAGGGGGCTTCTGCTGGTAAAAAGGAGTGGTCGCCTCAATGGCCCCATCCAAAAGCAACCGAAAACCCATCAATTCAGAAACAGTTGTTTGCACGGACGGTTCTGGTTGTTGCACGCACGGTTCTGGTTGTTGCACGCCTGGTTCTGGATGTTTCCTGGTGTTGTCCATCGCCAGTTTCGGCCCGAAAACGGGTTTTCGGGCCGAAAACGAGCCGAAAACGGAAGACAACGGGCCGAAAACGGTCCGAAAAACCGCCCTCCGAAAATCCAATGTTCCCCCCGCAAAAAAAATCGAGGAGTCCGGCCGCCCAAAAGCAAACCTTTTTTTAGGGTGCCCTTTCTTATAATGAGGAAGGTTCTAAACCAAGGCTAACACCATGAGTGGACAGAAATTTGCGTCTGCGTCGTTTCCTGTTTTGCTGCTTGGTTCCATGGGGAAAGGGACAGGTCTGTAAAGCAAGCCAGGCGCACTGGGCAAAGGCTGTGAAGAACACATGCATGCAGCTACACTCATTATGCTCTGATCGTCATAACTGTACTTAGCAGTGGCTTCTCGATTCTAGATTGTGCACATGAATGCTCACGGCCATTTCTGGTTCAGCCAACTGGAAAAAATGGAAAGTAGACAGGCCTGGCAAAGTCAAGGCCGCGTAGGCTAGGGATTTCGAACCGGTTCCGGTCGTTTGCCTCAGAAGTGGTTTTTCGGCCCGCACCTGCTTTGAAACAGTCGTTCAAGGCCCCAGGTATATATTATACCTCAGGGGGTTCTGGCCTCTTTTTCCTTTTGGGGTCCAACAATCTCTCGAGGCGCTGATGGACGAGTTGGAGCTTCCCCCGGACCGCGCCAACTTGTTCGAGATCATCGACGCGGACAGCTCCGGGACGCTGCAATTGTCGGAGCTGGTGCACGGCCGAGAGCTCGGAACTGGGACATTTCGAGGGTCGACTGGGTGGTTGTCCTGAAGGGAACCGATAAGGGGTGGTTCAAAAAGGAAACCAAAAGGAAACTAGCCATTTTTGGGGGGGACTCCCCTAAAGAAAAGACGTGCCCTCATGTGGGTGCTTTTTTTTTGAGGGGGATTTGGAGCTGCGAAATAGGTAATTTTCCTTTGACTAGGTCAAAACCCGAAGTGAGTGTCAAAGAATATTAGGCACAGCAGTCTTTTTGACTTTTTACATGGTATTCTGGAAAGGCCATTTTTATACCAGAGGATGATTCTGACACATATTTGTTGGCTGCTTGATTTTATGGCTGTGGGAAATTGGGTTTGGCAGACATCATCTTGTACAACAGTTTTAGACACAAGTTGGTTTCAACATACCCCACAACACAATGCAATTTGGTTAGGTCCCTGTAGTATTTTTGGCAGACAGCTGTTTTGCTAAACACCTGTTTGTTGCGTAGTTGTGTCTCGATGAGTTGCTTCTGTGTTTGTGTTGTGTTGCCTCTTCTTGGTTGGGTTGGGTTGGGTTGGGTTGGGTTGGGTTGGGGCAGGCTGGCTGGCTGGCTGGATGTTTTTTTTTTTTCCTTTTTGTGATTGTTTGGATCCCCTTCGAAGTAGTCAACAGGTACGTTTTGTGGTATCAAATCAGCACAGTTTTTGAGTGCCTCGGGGTTTGGACACAGTTGTTTGGGCCCTTTTCCATGCCACCACAAGCCATTTTGGCTCTGAATCCAAGAGGGAACCACCTCAAAAGCGGTTGCGGGACATGAATCCGCACCTAAATAGCGTCCACAATCCACATTTGTACCCCTCATCAAATTGTGCATGCTCGCGGGTGACAGAGTTGTCCATTTTTCCCAGGCACATCCAGTAAGAAGTTGTGACAACAGAGTGGTGTCCAATTCTTCGGGCTGAATGGTGTTCTGATAGTTTCTTCTTTTCAATCCAGCCCAAGGCGGTTACTACATATGGTGGTTCGGCTGGAGCACTCAAGTTTGTTCATCACAAAATCGCGGTTCATTCTGGCAACATGTAGTCTAGGTCCCCCAGCTAGGTGCCCTTCTCTCCCCTTTTTTGGGGGGGGAGGGTTCCCCTACTAAAATAGACTACAGAAAAAAAGGGTACCCTTATTCTAACTTCTACTGGTGGACCTAGTAGTAATGAACTGGCAAAATGCAAATTTGTTCCACGCCAATCCCTAATCTTGAGTTGTATTTCAATCCAGGATATGCTAGCACAGCACTGAGCACATCTTGGGAGTGCAAGTTTTGCCTTTGTCAAGACAAGATCCTTTGACATCTGGCAGAAATTTTGAATCAAGGGGGGACACACATATGTATACATATATATATATATATACAGAATGCATATGCTTCTCTACAGTATATACGTATGGGTGTGTCTTAGAGAATTAGGACCTTTTGAGATGGATCTGCAGGAGTACACCACGGCAACCAACCGTCCACTTGTAGTGTCCACCATTGTTGTTTGCATATTCGCATACGCGTGTACGCGAGCTTGTCTCTGTTTGTCTGTTTGATTGTTTGTTTGTTTGGTTGGGCTTGAATCTTTGTTGTTGTTTGTTTGAGTGCTTGCCTGTTTGCTTATTTACGTATTTCACGTATTGTATTTACCTGCACATACCTCTGAGGCCTGCTGAAGATCCGGGGAGAGATCGCCAAGAGTGACGCTCCTTGGATGGGAATCTGCATTCCTGCTCAATTGGAAATTTTTGGTTTCATGTTCCCCAGTGTATTTATGGCCTACATGTGGAGACAAACATTCCCTAAACTCACAATATAGCAACTGGACCAGTCGTCTAATGGGTAAGGCCGTATTGTTATGAGCGGCTCACGCTTGACACACATGTCTATGGTGGTTCGAGCCTGGTCCGTTTGTGTCTTTTTCTGCTGCGAAATAATTTGGATGCAACATGTTCAAGGAGGAAATGGACTGAGCACGCTTTCCTGAAAAGGCAACCCCCATCCTGCAACAAAGAGAAAGAAGAAGAAATAAAACCTGCGCGACACCCATGTCCTTTTGCCACCTGGGTTCGTGGCTGTGAGGTGGTGGCGGGTTTGCTGGCCACCAAAGCGGTGTACGAGAAGGTGGAGGAAATGTTGGCGCCTGGCAAGTGAAACATCTTTTTCTCCGAGCGGGTTTTCGGGGTTTCATAGACCCCGGCCATCTGGTCTTCTAGGTTCGTTGTGAGTTGGTTTAGCGGCTCGGGTTTCCATAGCCCAGATAAGTTTCAGCCCCGTTTTTTTTTTTTTTTTTTTTTTTAATTTTAATTTTTTTAAATCCCGGTTGCAAAGTTTCAGCCCCGGATTTTCTTTTTAAAATCCCTTGTTTCTTCATCTGGGGGGTGCCCATGTCCGGAAAAGTTCGTGGGGATTTCGACCACTTTTGGAGGGGAACATCCCGGGGGTCTGAAAAAAATCCGGGGTCAGCATGACGTGGGAAGGGTCCCTTAGGTTGCTTGAGTTTCCATGGGCCAGGAGATCTGAGGAGTGGGATTTCCCTCAATCCGAAGCTGGCAGATGTTGGCATTCCCCACTGGTTGTGTTTTTGCATCCAAGGGATTCGGCTTTTTCAATAGAAGTGTTTTGTTTTTGACAACCAATTGATAATGGATTGAGAACAGAGTGTTTTCAACCTCGACCATCTTTCCCCAACACGAATGGGGTCCGTTCTGGGGCGCAAGGGGATCGTGCTTACCTTTTGGAGGGGAATCGCGAGTGGCGGATATGACAGCCTTTTTTAGGGTACCAATGCGTAGGAGCCTCTTGGTTTTCTGATCAGTTGATCCTCACCTTTTGCTGGACGCCGCTTGAAGAGTCTTTCAATTCTTATGAATTTTGGATTGGGATTCTGAAAATCGTTGAAGGCTGAGGGGAGTTCGGAGTTGCTGCGTGCTGTCGTCGGTATGTCAAGTCCACCAGGGTGCTTAACAACCATGCAGGAAAACACACACTCTGTGTTTATGTTCTTTGCTGATGGCAACCCATCTAAAGGAACTGAGGGCGCGATATAATTCTCCCCGACCTCTCCCTACCACCCGGCCGGGACCCCTGTCGGTTACGCCCCAGCTCAAAAGGCAAGGGGGTCAAATTGACGTTTGGGGGGTTTCTCAGCAGTTGGTTTCCTTTTTGAGTTCCCTTCAACAGCGCTCATAAAGAAGCCACGTCGGTTGTGCCACCCGCGAGATTTGGATTCCCCCGTCAACCCTGAGGAGTCCCAGCGCTTCACAGCCAGGAACTGGTTTGGTTGCACGAACAGAACCCTCTTCACCGCGTCAAAGCTCGGGGCCGCCCTGCCCAAATACTTTCATGTCGTTGAAAGCCCTCTCCAAGACCTCAAAAAGTCAAGAAGACGCAAATGGGTGTGTCCTTTTTCAACCTCCCCCAACATGATGGCCCTTCAAACCCCGCAAAACGGGGATGCCCTCCAAAGAAAGTCGCAACCACGTTCTCTTCCAAGTCCGCGCCATGTTTTTTTTCTTCTTCTTTTTTCTCCGGATTTGATTTTCGGCGGCGACTTGGGACAAAAACAAAAGGGGGCGACATCCATTTGCTGTGGAAGATCTAGGTCCCCCAGCAGTGCTCTTTTACCAACTTTTTTGGGGGGGAGGGTTCCCCTACTAAAATAGACAAAACCGAAAAAAGTTGGTACCCTTATGGTAACCTCTCAAATCTGTAGGACCTAGAGGTGTTTTTTTCCTCGTTTGGAAGGGCCATCAATCTATCACGCCCGTTTTTTTTCCCGGGGGGCTTGAGGAAATGGGACAAGGCCGGGACCCCCGAAAGGAGCGGAACCGGAGCGACTTTTCCTTTTCCAGGGGTTTGTGTCCAAAATCGCGGACTCTCACAGCCGATTTCTACCCCAAACATGGCGCCGAGCCGGAAAAATAAATATATGGGCGTGGCTCAAAATTTGTCAGAGCTAGGGCAAATCGCAGGGTTTTAGTCTTTGGTTCCATCTACCAAGGTGCCACTTCAGTACATGTCTTTGAGCCACAGCCATATGCTTTTTTCCCCCGCTGGCCGAGGAGAATTTGTTGGACCTCAGGACCCAGCTCACAGGCGGGGGAGGGAAGAAAACAAAAACGAGTCCGAGTGCCAGCCGGCCCGGGGGGGGGTTGTGGTGCCTTGAGGTTCGAAGATCCCCAAAACGAAACGGTGGTCCAACTCCTTTTTCCTTTTCCCCAAGCCACGACTTTTGGGTCGGGATCGGTGGGGCTGGCGAAGTCGTTGGTTGGTTCTTGTGCCCCGTCCCCATGTCCGGGGACTTCCCCTGGTTTTTCGCCCCCGCCACGCCTTCTGTGTGCGAAGGTAGCATGGAAGTTGTTCTTTTTTGTTTCAGGCCGGTGGCATGACTTGATGAGTTTTGGCGCTTCCTGAGCCCTGCTTTGGTTTCCATACTTTTCAGGTGAGTTTGGTTTGGGGGTGGAAATCGTGGAATGGTTGCATCGAATCAGGGTTGCTCCCCCCAAAAAAAAACGCCCAAATACCTCGCTAGGTCCCCCAGCTAGGTGCCCTTTTACCAACTTTTTTGGTTGGTTAGGGTTCCCCTACTAAAACAGACGTCCAGAAAAAAAAGATCGGTTGCCCAAATTCTAACCTCTCAAATCTGTAGGACCTAGATGAAACATATTCTGAACAGATGGTTTTGGGTGTACCTGCACTTGGGCCAGGGATCTTTCAAGGGCCCAAGGCTCAAAGTACAATCGGGTACCCTTCTTCGAGCGCCTCTCCACTGAAGACCTAGTTACCATGGACCTCACCACCCAATGTCCAGGGGCTTCTCCTTGTTCCCGCCCCCTGCAGTCACGTTCTGTGCGCGAAGGTAGCTGTTTTTGTGATTTCCGGCAGTTTTTGTTTTTGGGGGGGAGGATTGGAGGAGTGGCGAGGCAGGCCGTGTCATTTTTTGTTGAAGGTTGCTGTTGATGGGCACCCGCCCATGAAGGATTCGGCTAAAACATGTGTCTATTGGTGCGTGGATGTCGTCCCTGGGTTTTTGTTTCAGGCCGGTAGCTCGTTTTTCCCCGGGCTGCAGGCCTGCAAGTGGAGATGCGCCTGCAGAAGGAGGAGAGCTTCACACACAGCCTGCCGGTGGCGGGGCAGGAAGAGAAGGCGGGGGTTTTTCGGAGAAAAAAAAGAGGAAAACAACGCGGGGTGAGCCGCGGAGAAACAAAAAACAAAAAACGGCGGCGGCGGAAAGGTGCTTTTGTGATTGAAAGGCATTTTGAAGATTCTGGGCATTTTGGAGGGATCCGTAAATTGGATTTGTTTGACAGCCTTTGGCGGTGGCTTTTTTGAGTCTCGCCCATGGATGGCTGTTTCAAGGGGAACTGAAGAATCAAAGTTCAGAAAATCACGAATCCCAAGCCGCCAACCTATCACCAACTAGAAGTAGGAGGATCGAAGCATTGCATGCGGAATCTTTACCTGTAGATGAGGTGCAGGTGCGGGCTCCTTGCAGTCTGTGAAGGGTGCACTGTGCCTGGTTCGAAAGACTGCAGTCCTTTTGAGAAGGCCCGTGTCCTCTTCTGGTGTTGGAAAGAGGGCGACTTCTCGGAAAATGCAATTCCCTAGCTGAAAGTTGCGGGCCGGTTTCAACCAGTCCGGGAGGAATCGCAGTTTATGGCAGGCATTCAAGAGTTTGCAAGGGATGAGATACTTGGTGGTTTCCGGCTATCCCCTTCGAGGTTTTATTTTCGGGCTTTTCAGTGTTTAGTGGAGATGTTCCATTTAACCCACTAGAAGTGAACCTTTCGGCCGGCGGTCTGAGGACAGCCCAGAATCGGATTTCACCTCGAGCTATACTTGTCTTATCTTGTCTTGGCTCCGATCAGGTCACGCTCATCGATTTTTGAGAAGTTGAAGCGGGTTTCATGGGACCCCATATCAGTCCTGGCTCTCTCACATGAATTTTCCATGAGGCTCGCCAAGGCTTCGCTTACGCCAGGTGGTTCCATTCGGGGAACCGTGGGTGGGGTGGTGGGAGTTGGGACTGCGGGGTTCGCGTGAGTGGAATCCCAGGCCGCACGGGTTCTGAAAAATGGTGGTTGGACACTCACCCCAACAAAAAATACAGCCGACATGTGGTGAGTGCCCTGCATGAGTGGAGGCACGTTTCGGAAACTCGTTCTTTTTGGATTTGGGCCATCTAAGAGTTTGCGCTGGTTCCCTTCTTGGTTTTAGAGGCCATCGATCTCACTGGACATCTTCTCTCATTTCTTCCAGGGGACGAAACCGCGGCCGCTGGAGGAACTAGCCCATGCTCGCTTGAATTGCGTTGGGTTTAGCTCGACCCGGCAAAGAACTCGCCGGTGCAAGCCGCCAGGATCTGGTGATGCCGAAGGAAACCCAGTCCACCAGTTTCCTGCTGCAGGCGGGTTTTCGGGTTTCGCCAGGTGTCCGGTTCGGTTCCAATGAGAAAAAAACACGCACCAAAAAACTTGACTGCTATTGGGTTGGGTCTTTAGACTTCAACTTTTTGGGAAACATCAAGGCGTTTTCCGCTAAACCCTCAAAAAGTTAAACTTTTTGCAGGGGGGGATCGTTGCAGCAACCCAGAAAAGGGGTAAGTTTTTATCCTCCAAACAAAGGGGCGCATGTGTCCGGGTGCTTGCTAGGACATGGGCAGTTGCGACTCCGGAGCGGAGTCGTATCCCGGGGTCGCGGCTCTCATGCAGGAAATCCTACTGGAGATTCTACTGGAAATCAACTTGTGGTTGGGAATCCGCATGCACTGTTGAAGTTCCTTGGTGCGTTTGTGCCTTTGTGCATTTGTGTGTGTGTGCGTGTCTGCCTGTGCGTGTGTGTGTTCGTGTGTTTGTGTGTGTGGTTCTGTTTTTTTTCTTTCTGTGCGTTTGTGCTTGATTGTGTGTTTGTTTGTTCGTATGTGCTTGTGTTTGTGTGTTTATGTGTCTGTGTGTCTTTGTGTCTGTGTGGCGTTGCTTTTCTGCTTGCTTGATTGATGGTTTGTTTGTGTGTTTGCGTGTGTGTGTGTGTGTGTGTGTGTGTGTGTGTGTGTGTGTGTGTGTGTGTGTGTGTGTGTGTGTGTTTGTTTGTGTTTGTTTGTTTGTTTGTTTGTTTGTTTGTTTGTTTGTTTGATTTATTTGATTGATTGACTGACTGACTGATTGATTGATTGATTGATTGATTGATTGATTGATTGATTGATTGATTGATTGATTGATTGATTGATTGATTGATTGATTGATTGATTGATTGATTGATTGATTGATTGATTGATTGATTGATTGATTGATTGATTGATTGATTGATTGATTGATTGTGTTTGTTTCTGTGCTTTTGTGTTTCTGTGGTTTTGTCTGTCTGTGCTTCTGTGTTTTGTGTGGTTGTGTGTGCTGTGTGTTTCTGTGTTTTTGTGGTTTTATCTTTCTGCGTGTTCGTATTCGTGTGTTTGTGTATGTGGTTCTGTGTTTATGCGCGTGTGCGTTTTCTGTTTCTGTCTTTCTGTTTTTCAGAAACGTGTGTGTGGTTGTGGGGTTGTGCTTTTGCTCGTTTGTGTGTTTGTGTCTCTGTGTCTGTGTGTCTTTGTGTCTCTTCGTCTCTGTGTGTGGTTGTGGTTGTGCTTGTGGTTGTGCTTGTGTGTCTCGAAACGGACCCGCTTGTTGAACCCTCGAAAGAAACCCTCAAGGGTTCGGGCCTCAAGCATCCAAGCAGGTCCAAACAAGGGCCAGAACCTAGGTCCTCCAGTAGAGAGGTTAGAATACGGGTACCAACTTTTTTCTGTAGTCTATTTTAGTAGGGGAACCCTCCCCAAA